AACAATCGTTAATCTCCTTCGATGACACATTATCAAAAGCATGATCATAAGCATCATTCAAAGGGGGATAAGAGGGAAGTGACGGAGGAGGTAAAAATGGAAAAGAAGACAAATCAGTCCTGTAAAAGGGACATGAAACTCATCTACAATAGAATTAACAATCAAGGACTCATTAATCACCTTACTCTCAAGTGTATTTTCCTCTATAGGACTTTCAACCAAAGGTTCTTCATCCTCTAAAAGATTCGTGACATGTATCTCTTTCTTTATTTTATCACCATCCCAATAATGTTTATTTCTTATCCACCCATCATCATCATCATAAATATAAGGAAGTGGTCTTTCATCACATAAAGAATCATCATGATATGTAGAGTGATAATAAGAACAACGAGAAGGGGTTTTACTATGTGTAGGGATGGATGGATTATGTAAGATAGGCCTACTAGTTAAAGACATCTCCCACTCATAGGTTTCCTTAGCCAACCACTCAATTAAATCCCTGGGCTAGAAACCATCCGTTACACATTGATTCTATCAGTGTCCTAGTTTCTTCATTAAATCCCTCCTAAAACACTAGGCACATATCCCATTGTTCAATTCCATTATTAAGACCAACATAATCGCCTAGTCTACTATAATACCTCCAAAACGCCTCATGCTCAAATTGAGGAAAATAAAAAATAGCCATTAAACAAAAAATAAAAAAAAAGTTGGATAATATATACTTCCTCCGTTCTTTTTTACTTGACGTGTTTCTTTTATCACGCTTGTCGATGCATAACTTTAACCATTAATAAATTTAATTTTCTATAAGTAAAAATTATAAAGGTTGTATATTACGATAGTACTTATCTAGACGAATCTAACAAGATCTCACATGAACAAAATTTTCCTTACATATAATTCACAAATGACAGTGAAAGGTGAGTTGGTGAATAGTGTAAAAGTCAAAGCGGGTCAAGTAAAAAAAAAACAAAGGAAGTACAATTTAGTCTCACCAACAATAAAGGTTAACTATATAAAGCAATACCGTCTCCCCGGCAACGGCGCCAAAATTTGATAGGCGTGTCACGCACCCAACAAAAGTAATACCTAACTAGACCTCCTAATTATGTTGTAGGGTAAGTTGATCCCACAAAGAGAAGGTTGTTTAACAATCAACTTTTACCTATGACAAAACTAAATAAGAGATAGAATGATGGAATTAAATAACTACGACTACTCAAATATCAAACACAAATAAAAAATAATAAAAACATCTAGAATTACTTATCACCACTAGCATAATCAATACAAGACAAATTCCTACCCCAAACAATTAATTATATGTTCACAAGGAAAGGTACGCCCTATAAAATACCAAAGATCTCTCCTGAGTTGTCAATGGCTTCCCTAATTAACAATCAAACCTACTTCCGTGAAATCATGCAAATTAAAGACATTAAGTCCGGCACCCTACTTCCTAATAATCTGTTCTACCTACTTCCGTGGAGAATTTCATACCCTTAATTGATCGATTCAAATCCGTCAAAACCCAACTCTTGTTGCGATCAAGACAATGGAATAATAACAATACCAATTATCCCTAATCTAGTATTGGCATAAGCACAATCAATTAAGCATGAACAATATAAACAATTAATTGAGAATTTAAAAGAACAAATCAAGTATCAATCATGGCTAGGGTTCAACCTAACCCTAGAATAATAATCTATACTAACATAATAAAAGAAATATAATAAAAGAAAGAGAAGAAGTAAATATAATAGTTGAATTAATAAAATAAAACTAGAGAGAAAACTAGGGTTCTAAACTAATGGCTAATGAGGTTATGAGATAATAAAGCCAAGGAGTATTTATAATAAAGCTAGGAGTTTAAGATAAGTAAGACAATCAAAGAGCTAAATCGTCCACACACGGACATGCCATGCAAAGGCACGGACGTGCCATACAAAGGCACGGACGTGCCTCAATTCGCTTGTCAAGGCATAGACTGCGCGCGTAGCTTGACTTAAAACGGTCATAACTTGAGATCCAGAGCTTTGTTTGAGGCGTGTAATATATCGTTGGAGAGCTCTTGAAGTCTACTTTCCAATGCAATCTGAATCACTCCAATATCATTTGTATATCAAAAGTTATGGTCAAAATAGTGGACGGGACTCATATTCGTAAAGTCTTTCATCAACGCCTTTGCTTCTTTATATCCTTATTTCCTCTCGAAGACATGATTTGAGATCCTTGAGCGACGTAGCTTCATACTCCATGATTATTATACTCAAGATTAGCTAACCATAATCCATTTGCATCTAAATCACTTGAAATTCATCAAAACACACAAATGGAGAGGAGTAGAGCATAACCTAAGAAAATAAGGTAAAAATACACCTTAGATCTCTAAATCCATAAGCAATTAAGTGTAGATAAGCACCTACAATGTGTACAAATTAGGACTTATCAGTTAGGCATAGCTAGTACAGGGAATGAACAATTTTAATCTAGAACAACTTAAGGCATCAGTTTTTTGTCTGAAATGTGCATATGGCTGATAAGATTCTTAATCTCTACTGGCTTAATTTGAATTGTTATAATTGTCTATGAAAGGGTATCATGGTGACGTTTTTGTTAAGCTAGTACACAATGTCAGTACTTTGTTATTGGTATTACACTAGGTGACACCATTAATTCATGGCTTATGAATGTCAACTTTATATCTACATTATATAGGTTTAAGTCTGATATTTGAAGCTACAAAATTATAAGCCTACCTATCTCTTTGAATTTATGATATTAAAGAGTTTCATGGTTCTGCAAGATTTGATTGTTCCTTGTCTAAGCCTGAGTGATATTCAAAGCTGCAAAATTTCTATTTACCAATGCCCAACAAAGTAATCTAGTGCAAAAATTTATTCTAGCTATCACATATATATGATAGTTCCGTATCATAATTTCAGCCTGCTGAAAAAAAGAACTAGACTGAATGATACAACAAAATAAAAACAATTAAATGGAGTATTTCCATTGAAAAAAAAATAAAAATTAATCGAAATTACACCCAGCCCACAAACTAGAAATAAAAGGCAATTTTGAGTAATTCAGAAAATTAATGCAACAAGCAGAAAAAAATTGAGAAACCAGATTGTAAAAATAATAAAATTGTATGTAATGGACCCCAACAATTAAAATAATTGTCAGATTGAACAATTCAACACATTAAAAAATTCAAGAAAATCCTAAATTGATACCCAAAACCTAAATTTGACTCTTATACAAAAATATAAAGACGAAAACATACCAAAATGTTGATAATTATCTTCTTCCCTTTTTGATTTGAAGCGACTACAAAAATCTTAAAGCTGCAACCAGAAAAATTACCCAGCAAAAGTACGAAGCTCATCATCTTTAATTATATATCCATAATTACACTTCAATGGTGTGAAGTTTCTGCACTTCATAACTTGAATTCTACTAAGGATTTTCAGGGAAGTAGAGCTAGGCTTTGTGTTTAAGATAGTTTGCAGTGGGATTCAGAAATTGAATAGGATGAGCTAGTGGGCTCATGAAATCTTAATACCTTGTCAAATGAATTCATAGTGTTTATAAAGATGGACAAATTTTAATATCTTTCTTTTTTGTGATTATATTAATGACAGTTATATTATAATTCACGGAAAATGTCTAAATTCTCGTTATAATTGCAAATCAATGCTCTTAACGCTAATTTATTACTTTAATCATTATTGAATTGTCATTCAAGTTTTAGCAGTGTGTTTTTAGTATGTCCGTAGGATTCTTGGATTACCAGGGAGTAGATGTTCAGTTGAATTTCATCCATTAGCATCTTACTTATATACCTTTAGTCTGCAGGGAATTATTCCATGAATGAATAAGGCGAGTGTTGTTTGAGCTTCACAAACCACATTCTGTGTTGACATCCTGCATTTCAGCCTTTTTTGAGAACATGACTTGTCTAACCAGAAAATCTCTGCTCAAACCAGAAAATTTTCTAAAAATTAGACCTTTTTATGTTTACCATTAGTATCTTCATTGAACATATTCTCTAATTAAATTCCTTGACATTTGACACCACATCGGCATATAATCTAATGCCTCTACCAAAACTTCCTTGACTTTTGATACTACATTGGCAAATCAGCATATGATTTAATGCCGCTACCAAAACTTCCTGCCTTGGGTGGGGTTTGAGGGAAGGGAGGGGAGGGTGCTGACTAAACGTATTGTTATTCTGTTATAAAAAATGTTGTTTTCTAATTGACTTTGAATTTAACATGTTTTAGCTGCCTGTTGCTTTACAACAAACAATAGTGCTAGTAGTATAGTCCTAGAGTTGGGATTGATGTATCTGATTTTAGCTATTGCTCAAGAGAAGCTCAATGAAACTATATTTGGTTTAGCTGCGATTGCTGTATCTGAGTTCAGATCGATAATGCTCAAGATAAGCTCAATGAAACTGCATCTGGTTTACCTGGGATTGCCAGGTGTCTGCTGGGAGCCTAGGAAGCTAAATGTGGAGTATTGTCTACATCCAACGAAATCAAAGGCAACTGAATCTGGTGTTGCATGCTACAGACGTACTATGTAGGAATTGGAAGCAACTTTCCATAGCATGTCACCGCTAGAAAATGTGATATAGTAGCAATGGATTAAGGCCTTTGAATCCATTTTCAATTGACTTGTATGAAGTAGAATCTTTTCTGATTGCCAGTTATGTTCCTCATAAAATAAGATTCATGTCATTGTATATTCAATGATAACTTTTGAATCATAATCATATTAACCTATATTAGTCTGTGCTTGTAAACCTATCATGATGGTTCATGGTTGGATACTTGGGTGTAACAAATTAAATGATGTGTAATAGTAGTTTTTGTACTTAAGTGATACTTCACTACTATATACACTGTTGAATTTAATACTCTAGGTTATAAGTGATGATTGATGATATATGTATTATTGATTTTGTAACTTAATTTGTGTAGGAGGCGAGAAGAGGCACAAAAACTTCTGAAGGAAGCACTTGGAACTTTGGAAGGACAGTAGCTCTTTCATAAAAGAATTTTCAATGAAGTGATTGTGCATTATTCAACACTGATTAGCACAGTATGATGATCTTGATCTCTACTTTGCTTCTGTACTGTGGTTGCACATAAGAAAACTTGGGAGGATCTACGCAAACCAAATCAATGGCTGTGTTACTGGATGGATACGTTGATTCTGTGTGGGAGTTTACTCATGATGGTGATTATCCCATTGCTGATATGGTATGCTTGTGAGGAAATTAACATGAAGAATCTGATGATCTTTGTATATTAGGACTAATATAATGATGTTACTGTATCCGGACTACTGGTAACTGTATTCCCATAAGTCTGGAATTGATGATATCAATTAACTAATCAGCTAAACTACCACTAGACACTAGTATTTAGTAGTATTACGAATCCCCCTGGGCACATAGGCCCTAATTGTTTGGCTTGCAAATAGGAGGGCAATCTAGGGTTCGGCGGTACATTTTTCTCTCTTAAACGTACAATGGTACATTTTTGTGTACTATTATGAATGTATAATGTACCGTTAAAGCATAAATTGTATGAATAGTCTGGAATTGATGATATAAATTAATTAATCAGCTAAACTACCACTAGACACTAGTATTTAGTAGTATTACGAATCCCCCTGGGCACATAGGCCCTAATTGTTTGGCTTGCAAATAGGAGGGCAATCTAGGGTTCGGCGGTACATTTTTCTCTCTTAAACGTACAATGGTACATTTTTGTGTACTATTATGAATGTATAATGTACCATTAAAGCATAAATTGTATGAATAGTACTTTTTGTGTACTATTATGCATGTAGTGGTTATTTTTGCCATCATATTTTCCACCCTTATATTCCCATTATTTGCAAAAATGTCATCCTATATGCAATGTTAGTAAATAGAGGCTATGCGCCAATAGTGAACCGTAGTGTTAAATCTACAAGTAATTTATGTGCATTGTAAAATGATCAATTATTACTCTTGATTCTTTTTGTTCTTGTTTCCCAATTTGGAAGGTTTAAAAAGATTTCCCCATTTGGAATCATTCCATATACTTGTAAAAAATTTCTTTTCGGTTTTATTTTATTTGATGAATGTGCTAAAATCTATTATAGAGTACGAGTATATTTTTCTTTGTCCAAAACGTTTTCCCAAAGTAAGCTACGTTTACAAAGTAATTACCAAAATAGTTGTGTGGCAAAAGTATTTACGAAATTAAGCTTCCAGGGCATAAAACGCTGTCTAGTTTTTTTTTTTTTTTTTTTAAAAAATTCAATCCTAAAACCGCTGTCCGGTAGTTGTTGACTTTTTTTTAAACTTTTTTTTTGTAATTTCAAATTTTGAAATTTTTTTTTGAGAAAAACGCATAAAACGCTGTGTGAGACAGCATTTTATGCGTTTAATGAAACGCTGCCTCAGGCAACGTTTTATGTTCAACATGAAACGCGGCCTCAGGCAGCATTTCTTGCGTGTAATACAGAAGCAGCGCTTCAGTTTGCTGCATTCCACACAAAATCAAACATTCATCCCAAATTCGCATTCCCTCACTTTTCCCTCGACCCAATTCACTGCCACCTCCTAACTCCGACCACTCGTCGACGACCGGACGCCGGAATCTCGGAGAAAGTTGCCTCACCTCACCCCGTATTTGGTATGTACTCAATCTCTCTTAGTTTTTTAAATTCTAGGGTTTATGTTGTTAGTTTTTAATTTTTTGGAATTGTTGTAAAATTTTGATAATGTTGAGTTGTTAGTGTTAATAATGTTGAGTTGTTAGTGTTGGTATTGTGGAATTGTTAGTGTTGGTAAATGTTGAATTGTTAGTGTTGATATTTTTAGTGTTGATATTAGTTTGGATATTGTTGAATTGTTGTTGTTGGTTATGTTGGAAATTGTTGATAATAGTTGATAATTATTAGTTTTTGAACAATTGTGATAACCTACATTGTTGTGTAATAATGGTGGTTTAAGGGTTCTTAGTAGTTATTTTGTAAAGTATGTAAACATTTTTTGTTTGATTGTGGTGATTTAGGGATGGTTTAACGCCTTTTAGTAAAATGTATTTTGGTTGTTATGTAGAATATGGCCGGACAAAATGTAGTGTTGTTATGCCGGTGGGGAGGTGAAATTCTGTGCGATGGATCAAATGTTGAGTATAGTGGAGGAAATATGGAACCACTAACACTTGAACCGAACATGACAGTGAATGACTTGATGAATGAGGTTCATAGTAGTATTGGTTCAAACCCTATGAATGTTGAACTGAACATTAAAATGAGGTTTGATACTGGCCATGGGGTTCAAGTGTTACCTGTTTCTACGAACAGAAATTTGAAAGCTTTGAGGAGCATTGTTGCAATGAAGGGTGTTCCCAATGAGATATATGTAGAAACGGTGCCTATATGTACCCAACAAAGTACTCGGCCAGAACAACAAGCTACATATGTCTCCGATCACAACACCGCGTCCTTCCAAGTGCCCTCAAACTACATTCCATCGAATGAATATGGGATGGGACCCTTTAGACGAATGCTGCAGGACGATCAATTTCACATGCCGTTAAGTTCTCATATAGCTTCACCAGTGCATGCGGGGGGATGTGGGACAATGTTCGGCCAACCCGGTCCTTCGTCCTCGAACAGCGTGGCACCTTCACCGATGCAATTGCATAGTTATTCGCCTATGCAAGGTGATGTTCAAGCATCACCGTCTTGAGAAGAGCCAAATCATTTTGATGATATTGTGAATAATGAATTGTCGGTGTATGATGTGTATGTGGAAATGGATGATGAGGACGAGAACGGAGTGGAGGATGATGAACCTGTACAGATGGAAGTTGGCGACCCCTTGGTTAGAACTCCCATACCTTGGTTCAATGAGGTAAACTAGAACTATGAAGTTGATTAGTATTGGGCCGAATCGGGTAACCATACATCGTTTGTTCCCGAGGGAGAATTTGAGAAGGGAATGTATTTTGAAAGTAAGAAAATGCTTCAAGAAATGGTGAAGATGTATTCTATACAGAGGAATCAATTCTACACCACAGTGACCTTGAATGATAGTGTCCTTCATCTGCGATGCAAGAAGAAATGTGGTTGGATGATACGGGGTACTAAATCCAGTGAGCACTCGCGTGGTTTTACCATAGTCACGTACAAAGGCCCGCACCGGGAAACATGTGTCACTGAAGTACTATCTACTGATCACCCACACTTGGATTCATCCATAATAGCAGAGTATGTGAAGTCCTTTGTGCGGAAAGATCCTTCCTTGAAAGTTGAATTCATACTGGAACTAATCTCCAAGCAATTTCATTTCGATGTCCCGTATCGGAGAGCGTGGTATGCCAAGGAGAAAGCTATAGCTGAAATATTTGGGGATTGGGAGAGTTCTTACGGCAGACTTCCGCACTTCATGCAAGCACTCCTACGGTCAAACCCGGGAACATGTGTCGTATGGAAACACAAAGCTTTGGTGGACGGTGTGTATTACAGCAACATGGAAGTGTTTGAACGAGTGTTTTGGGCCTTCGGTCCTTGTATCGATGGCTTTAAACATTGTATGCATGTTATCTATATCGATGGGACGCACATGTACGAGAAGTATAAAGGAACACTGTTGGTAGCTACAAGTGTTGATGTAAGCTTCCAAGTATTTCCTCTAGCATTTGCGGTGGTTGAAGGGGAAAACACTTCCAGTTGGTCTTGGTTCCTGGTTGTATTCGGGATCGTGTCATGCAATGAATGTCCTAATGTTGGATTCATCCAGCCGCGAGCCTATCACAGATTTTGTGTCCGCCACATAGCTTCTAACTTGAAGACTCACGTGCGAAGTAACGACATGAGAGATATGTTCAAGGCTGCGGCGTACCAAAGGCAGGAAAGAAAACTTCAAGCTGATCTGTGTTTCATTGGTGAGGCATGTACCAAGGCCATGGAGTAAATTGCTCAAGTCCCGTTCACTATGTGGTCTCTCTTTCACGACAATGGTCACAGATATGGGATATATACTACAAACTTCTCGGAAACATTTAACAATGTGTTGAAGGGAGCTCGGCTTCTACCGATCATGTCCCTTGTCGAGTTAACCATCCACAGAGTTAATAGGTATTTCACTTTGAGAAGGGAGTCTTCCGAGGCTAGGTCTGATCGGGGACTTCCATACCCCTCAAAGGTCATTGCGATCCTGGAGAAGAACACCGCAAAAGCCAGATATCATAGAGTGGATGCGTATAATCGCCGTTTGCATATTTACCAAGTGACAACAGAAAGGAGAGAGCAAATTGGTAGTAAAGGAGGACACAAACATACTGTTAACTGGCAGTTGATAACGTGTACATGCAACAAACCGAAGGTATTCCACCTCCCATGTTCTCATGTGCTAGCAGTCTGTGTGACATATTCACTATCGGAGCGGCCGTGGGTGGACCCTTTGCTGCAATCGGCCGCCTACACGAACACCTATGCACCACAGTTCTGGCCTATCCCTTGCGAGACGACCTGAGCATAGTGGGCACAGTACGTAGGCCCTAAACTCATTCTGGACGGCACCATGGTTCATGGAAAAGGTCGTCCAAGGTCGAAGCGCATACGCAATGAAATGGATGACACCAACCGGCCCCCGACCAAATGCAGTCGTTGTCACCAGCAAGGTCTCAACCGAACTACTTGTCCAAGTAGACCGACGTAGGACCTAAGTTTATATTTGTTATTTGTTGTAGTAGTATGTAGTAGTGTTGTTTTGATTATTTTGTACCAGATTTTCTAAAGTCTGTAAAATTGCAGTCACATGGATGATATATATTTTCTACTTTGGATGTTGTTAGAAATTTTCTGTCTTTGCCTTTAAATCGTCCACCTTATGCTAAATTGCTATTCCAGTTATTGTGTTGGTGTTTGGTATGTAACGTTTTCAATGAACAGATACCATGGACGGACATGATAGGACACCCAGACCCGTTGACCCTTCTGTCCTGACTCTGCAGGACACACATCGCAGCGTCGACGTATGGAACCAGACGGTAATATTTCATCTGTTACTTTTCTGGATTCATTGATGTACTATATAATATTTATTACAAACGGCCAATGCTTTTTCAGGGTGAATTAGCGAGGACACTGATTTGCAGGCACTGCACTACCTGGGTTCTGGGCGGCTGGGTTGTCGATGAACGCTGTCTTGCGTACGTCGAGTACGCTGGCTTTGGCGGTATTCATCGGATGGGGTTCAGGGAGATCGACCGGCAACTTGTCACTGCGCTGATGACGTCACAATTCAGAGATACGCTCGAGCATACTTGTTCCTGCTCATATTCGTCGTGTTGTTCGGGAACAAGAGCGGGAGCCATTTGCAGCTATTTACCTACAGTTGTTAGACCACGACTGGGATCATATCCGTGGATATAGCTGGGGTAGTGCATGTTTGGCAATGTTGTATTGCCACCTGTGTAGAGCCTCACAGAGTGGTGCACTCGAGATCGGTGGACCTCTGATCGTGCTTCAGGTAACCAACCTAATTTTTCACAAGCTATTTAGGCAATGACTAACGTCATACTTAACATAGTTTTGTATTTTGCTATTGCAGTTATGGGCTTGGGAGAACATCCACGTAGGAAGACCAGGTATGCCTGTTGTACATCGTCTGGGTCAGCAGGACCGGGATGACCAGTATGAGCCGTATATCGCTCCACTGCTCCCTGCAGCTGATGAGGCATACGGTTGCAGGTTTGTAACATTTTTCATTCTTTTTCGCCCCCATACGGTTTCATTTTGCTAACAAACAAAACAAATTTGTTGCCATAGGTGGGTGGTCCCCAGACTTACACAGGCACATGCGGCGACAGGTCTTCCGTACTACCGAGACGCCATTGATCGACTCACTGAGCATCAGGTGGAAACTTTTAAGATATTTGTAAACAATTATGTACTGTGCATATTGTATATGAACTAACTTAATTAAAATATTTATTTTGATGTGTTATTGCAGATCACCTGGGATCCGTATGTACCGGAGTTGGTAGATACCGTGCCTGCACATCTACTGGATCATCAGGCAGAGTGGCGTGCCAGGGTCCCCCTGATTTGTTTCGAGGTCGTGGAGAGTCACCTTCCCGACCGCGTCATGCGACAGTTCCGACTACGCCAGCTTATTCCCCAGCATTGTGACACTAGTGTACGCCTTCACGACATTGACCGGTGGGGAAAGGGGGAGATAAACTGGTCACTGGAGCATTGACAATTCCTTCAGCTATGGGAACAACGACTGGATTATGTCGTTCGAGGTGATCCGATGCAGGGCGTTATGGATCCTCACGATCCGTATATGGTGTGGTACAGGCGTATTACACGCCGTTTCATCAACCCCAGCTACACACCACCGTCCACACATTACCATCCAGCATATGACGTCATTAGCGGATATGTGAGTTTCTTTTATTCTACTTATCGTCCTCATTTTTTATTTTTTTATATATCATGTAAGTGACTGATCGATGATTACTGCAGGCGGCGGATATGGTGGGGATGTTTGATGCACTGTCACTCGTCCTTGCAGACGGACCCACCAGAGCCCAGGTCGAGCGGATGCGAGATATGTCCATGAATTCCTTACAGAGACATGGTCACGGTTATCTCGTCCACCAGCGGGACGGTCAAGATGGCCACTCCTTCCATTCACAGTTCGACCCCGGCCAGAGTAGCGGTGGAGGTGATCATACGACACCCACAGACGTTGAGGAGTACATCATCCACAGTATTGCTCCCACCGGGACCCAGGAGACACATCGTCCAGCCAGCTCACTCCCCCACCGCCCCGAGACCCATTAACCACCATTTCTCATTACAGTCGGCGTCGTAGACGGACGGACGACAGTCAGGGAACCTTTAGCCCCAATTGATAAGTCAGAATAGTATTGTATGGTTTATTTGTTGTAGACAAACATTTTCTAGAATGATGTATATAACGATTACATTATTAATATAATACATGTTTGTTGAATGAATCTGTGTGTAGTTTGAAGTTTAGTTTCTTTATTTATCCAAATCGGACTTATGTCAGTCAAAATAGATTCTTCTAGGCCGATATATATCAAACAACAGACATTTGGGATCCATAATTAGAAACGGGGTAGAAGCGATGGCCCGTGGTGGTTAATGTGGTGGTTCATGGTGGTTTTAGTGCTGTTGGTTGTTGTGGGTGGTGGTCGACGGTGGAGGAAAGGTTGGGGCTGGTGGTGGAGGTGGTTGAAGTGTTGTTGGGGGTAGTTGGACTGTTTTGAAGTGCATAACGGTGGTCGAAAGTGGTGGAAGGTGGTGGTCGACGGTGGGGGTTGGTGGTGGGGGTGGTGGTTGACTATGGTGGCTTAATCAAGGCAGGGGTGGTGTGCTGGGGCAGAAATTAGAGAACAAAGGCTGCTGGCTGTTGGTGCTGCAGACTGTAACACCCTAGAAATTCCTTCCCTTTAAAATACCTGTTTTGTCCTTTTTAAAATACGAAAAAGGAAAATCTAAGATATTACCGCCACCGTGAAAACGGCTAAGGCAATTATCAAAGACACACAACGGAAGACAACCTTTAAAACTATTTAGAAGCAAGTCAACTTTAAAAGTCAAACCAAACGAAAGTAAAAGTCAAACAAAGTCAACCTACAACTTGGAACCATTGTAGGCCCTTAAACCAAAACACTTGAAAATCCTTTTGCGTTAGTCTCATAATCAACATAAATAATAATAATTCAAAGCAATAACACATCATATTCTTATAAGAACTAAGCATGATTCCCTCTTCACTCAGGCCCATCATGAGTATGCTTCATCACCTGAAAAGCTTCTCTCTACTTGTCCCCACTACTCGCCATTAGAAATGGGTCGTCGTAGGGATAAGGTAAAGACAAGGCCAGACAAACACACAATACACACAATCAGCAAAGTTGAGTACATAAGCGTAATTAGCACACACTAACATGCTTTCATCCTATCAACATACAACTTACCTCGATGCACCTGTTTACAAGCACACAACATTCATCACTTGACTCGACTACTAATTAATATTTATTTAATTTTTGATTACACATCGAACGGGTTTCCAACCAACTACTTGCCTCAAATAAATTGAGGTAAACTACACCGGGAGCTAACCGGGTAGGCAAATGTCACATGAAGTGGCTGGATCCTGCGCATAATAAATAATAAAAATAGAAAGTACAACGTCCTGTACCCCCAGTAGGAGTTATGGTCAAATATAAAGTCACATAACCTCCCCCCCCAAATATGTTCATACTCAAGATATATACGTTCCAAGAGTTTTGGTGTGTAATCTCTTTCACTTTACGTGATTTACAAATTATTAGACTTGGTGATGACTCTCAAACACAACACAACCAAACATTACAATTCATTCAAGCAATCAAACAAACTAGTTTAATTCTTGAATATTTAGTGACCACATAACTTTAGTGTGGAATCCTTTTTAAAGTACCTCGGTGTTAAAATAACACCTTAAGTGCATAAGACACCGCAAATCCTATCCCTCGGTGTTAGAAACACCTTAAGTGCACATAGGCACCGCAATATAATTTATTTATGTGTACTAAGACACTTAAATAGCTCTTTCCTCATGCTTATAGTATCAATAAAAATTATATGAACCATAATAAAATTCCTCTTCCATAATCCAAACCAAGATAAACATCCAGTTTAACCAAATATGCTTTCTAACATGCCAATAATAAAAGTATGGTTCAATATCAATATGCCAATATAATTAATTCGAAGCACCAAATCACCATAAGTACTTCATAATCACAAATCATTCACCATCATCAATCCAAATCACAATTTCCATCCAATACCTATCATGATACTACTTGGAATTAATTAAACAAAACCTAGCATGCTTCTATACACTTAAACTTTACCAAGTACGCGAACGTACCTTGAATA